TAGGTTCCCCATGGTTTAGCCATAGGGAATGACTCTTGGTGCCTGTTTCCCCTTCACAGGTGTGGAGAATGGATTGTTAGTAATCCAGCAGAACTCTTCCTTTGTTCTGAAGGTGTCCTCTTGGCCTGGCTGCAGGGCTGATCAGCATATTGTTATCTCTGATTGTGGCTTGATTAACCCTTCAGTTCTCTTGCTCTCCCCTACATTAAATCCATGACTACTATATACCACTCTATACCAAGAAAATTGTTTCTATTCCTTGCTCTATCTTCACTCAGATGTTCTGTGGGATGTTCCACGTTCACATTATAAATTTTCATATAGATACAATTTCACAACAGAGCTATTTTATCTCCTAGCCTGTTCCAAGTCTGTTTCATTTTTAATATTGCCATTTTTAATATTAATATTCCAATGGCAGGTTTCATGGTAGTTGATGTGCCCCCTTTCACTTCATATTCCTTCTTCCTTAGAAAATTAAAGAATTTAATAGTTTCATGGATTTTAGCATTTCATCAGCTATCTCTTTCACAGAATTGAATAGTACAGAAAAAAGTGAAAACAGTCAAAACTATAGAAAAAGCAACCTTATGTAAAAATGCAGTTTCTTATTTTAAAAGAGACTTCATATTTCTGTGTATGTAGTGGAAAGGTAAAAGGATAAAATGAAGTATCATACTTCTGAAATTTTGTAACAGGATAACTATTTTTCAGAGGAACAGCATGGTGTGAAAAAGCACTGGCTAGCTCTCTTAATTAAAGTTTTAAAATTAGAGTATGAATGTATTAAAAGATAAAGAATGGTTTTTAAAAAATTATTCTTTCTATAGCTTTAGCTTTCAACTTTTCCCTTAAATTTCTCTTCACTTTGTAAAAAGACTGAATATTTTTATTATACTGCCCTGGCACAAATCCTTACAGGCTCAGATTTTTTTCAGTGGCGACTAAAGCAGTTTCAGCTGCTTCTAAGTTCTACATTCCATCGCCTCTACTATTGCACCTCACCCCCCTGCAGCTGCTTTGTTGGCAAAACCCAGATCCTTTGATAGATCCCAATCACATAATGACCCCTCAAAAGCAGGGTTTAACCCAGCTCACCCTGTAGCCTTTCTACTAGCCACACATCTTATGTGAAAAAAACTGCATGACTAGAGTCCCTATGCATACCAGTTAGAAATTACTTATAACCTCTCCTCCATTTGCCATACAACTTTTTCATAATGATGGTTGGATGTCATTAAAGCAGTTGCTTATTGCTGTTTTTAGGTCTTATGTTGTTAGTACACCTACTGCTACTCTGTATTTTCAAAGAAACTAATGCCATTTTTATAAGTTGTTTATTATACAACTTAAGATATAAAAGCACTATGTACAGATGCCATTAAAAGAAGAAAATTTTGAAGTTGACTTCAATTTAGGAAACACAGCCTCTATTTATGAGTAATTTAATTTATATATAGTCTCATCGATAATCATTGCAGGTTCTGTTTTGGTGTGTGCAGCTGTTGTCAAAATAGAACTCTGTTACACTCTCAACTCTGCTGTGTGAATCGGATGTTGACTGGTTTGCTGCCTGGGAAAAGAAACTGCTTTTGAGTCTATTAGAAAAAAATAGGCAGTTTCACAAGTGGCAACTCCTACTAGACTTCCATTGCATTCTTTATGTGTTGGTTTGTTTTTCTGCCTTCTCACAGTCTCAGTTTCAGATGAGTGTTTTAGTCTGGGTGGAGGGCGGCAACACTGGAAGCACTTCACTTGGCTCATTCCCAGGCAACACAAAGTTTGAGTCTCATTGGACTCTGTTTAGATTGAAAATTCATTATTTTATATTTAAAATGCAAGTAGTTCTTCAGTGTAATTGTTGAGTACATTAATCTTTCAGTTATCTTGTTTTCATTCAAATTTGTGTAGGTTCAAATTTCATTTACTAGAAGCTCAAAAAGAGAATTCATTTTAATTCAAGCCTTTTGTGAAATAAATATTAAGCTTTAGAATAAGAAAAGCCAAGAATCCAAAGGATGGAGAGATGACTAGTGAAGACAAACTTGACAACTGCGATTGATTCATATTTGGGATTTCTATTTCAATTCGAGGATTGAAAGTGTTTAGTAAAATGCGTATGTATGTACATGTGTGTTTAATGTGTGTTTATGTCACACATATGTAGTCAAGAAAAAGTAGTATTTGGTAAGTGTTAAGTAGTCTACGTACTTTTGTAATCAATGCACTCAAACTATTAAGCTATTTTTCCTTTTTCCCTCTCCTGTGCCTTCCTTTGTCCCATAATAATACATGCCCCTGAAGTAAGTATGTCAGTGAACTCTGAGGACCTTTGAACAGACATGGTTGCTATGAGTGCAGTATTTATAAACTAACTTACTCCAAATGTAATGGCCATCAGGAATTCAGTAAGCTGGATTAAGTTGCCAAATCATGTTTGAATAGTGAACTAAAAATTATAAACATCGGAATAAAGAGAAACAAAGCAAATACAAATTAAAGCTTATGATAAGAGATGGGGGATGATTTCAAGGGAAGGGATCAGATCAAGTGTACTCAATAAATTTTGACTGATACCTGCTATGTGCCAATCATTGTTCTAGGTGCTGTGTGGTGATAGAGGTCTGAAAGACAGACAGATGGGCAAAGTTTGTGCCCTATAGGTATGCCGATACAGATATAAGTATAATTGCAACAGTTGTTAATAAATGGTCTGTTAGAGCTATGTAAAGGGTGATATATGAGTGGACAAGGGATACCTAATTCAGCCTGAAATGGTCAAGAATGGCTTCTAAAAAGATGTGATGTTTAAACTACTAGATCTTAATGAATAACAGGAGTTTCCAGGCAAAGGAAGAGAGGGCATTCTAAAGAGCAGCAGAGGTAAAGAAATGAGAGAATATGTGGTACATTTGGATATAATAGTTTCTGTTGTTCAGAGTCTATGAGGGGGTAATGGAAGGAGGCTGAAAAGCAAGGAGCTGTAACAGCTTAGTTCATCCCGATTTTAAATAAACTAATGCCTTGATCTGGTTTGTATTTTAACAAAAATAACTCGTTATATAAAGAACATTATCAAGGGGCAGGGAGGGTCAGCAAGTAAGGATTTGGATGAGGCTCCACAGTGGGGTTAAAGCACTGCAGTGGGATTAGAGAGAGGCTAAGATAGTCAAGCAATCTTGGAAGTAGTACACTTGAAGGAGTTGGTGATTGATGGGATATAGGGCAAGGAAAGAATATAGAGTAATTTAGGCATTTGACTAGAAAAATTAGATGTCTGCTTCCTTTTGTTATGATAGGAATGTAAGGAAAGAATAGTTGGAGTAGGCAGGAAGGCAGAGAGGGTTTAGGGTAGGTTGAGAGTGAGGTGTCTGTGGGACTTTCAAGTGAGACTACACATGGCTTAGATAAGTGATTGCAGTGACTGGTGAAGCCAGGACTAGCATAGCCCAACGAGAGTCCCCAGATTGAGAAACGAATAGGGGCGGTGATAGAACCATGGAGATCACTGGTAAAGAAGAGTCCATGAAAAGAATGAGTTGAGCAGCGAGAGAAATAGAAAACCAGTGGTGGGGCCCCTTGGAAGCTAGAGGAGGAGAGTTTAAAAATAATGTATTTTTAAAAAATTGCTTCCATTATTATAGTTATCTTCTCTTTAAAAGTCCATGTTATTAAAAAATTAATTTCTTAACTTTACATAAATGTTGTCTTTTTCTTCCAGATCTGACAATGATTCTAATAGCCTAGTGTAAGAAAATTTACTGATGATGCCCAACCTTACTGGGTCCCATAGACTTAAGAAATAAACGGAGTTGTCATGTTACGAGGAGTTAATGATATTTCCACTGTCATTGTGGAGGTTGTTTTCTAGTTTGAAGATTTATGATTTATGTGTTCAATTTTAAAGGATGGTGAAATAAATCTTTTCCAGTGAAAGTCTCAAAGTCCTCTACAAATGATCTCTCATTAAACCAAGTGTTTTAACACTTAGCCTTATACTGTATTTGTTTATTCACATAAAAGCAGGTGGCACCGGGCTGTCAGCATTGAGCCAGTACACAATGATAGCAAAGTTGATGACGCTGAAGGAGAATGTAAAACTCTGCAGCTGGAGAATGGTGTCTGATGTAGCAGCTGAAATAAGGCATATCTATTCCATGACTTTTGGCATTCATTTTCTCTTTAGATGCTCTATAACCTTGTTAGTCAAAGTGTAGTCCAAGAAATCAGTAACATCAGCATCACCTGGGACCTTGTTGGAAATGCAGAATCTCAGGTCCCAACTCCAGACCTGCTGAATCAGTCTTTGGTTTAGTGAGAGCCTTAGGTGATTCCTATTTGCATTAGTTTGAGAAGCACCATTCTAAGGACTAAATAGACCTAAGAGTTTGCAAAGTTGTTTATAACTTAGCCCTCTGGCTTTACCATTTCACAGTCTCAAGACAGCAAGATTTTTGGAAATGGGTATCATGGTTACAAGTTATTATATTTTCTTTCCCCAAGGGGGTGGGTAGAAGTTAAAAATGCAGGTTAAAAAATTGTAAAACTCCAGGTTATAGAATCTTGAGTCGGATTACCTGGGTTCATATCCTGGCTCTGCCTCTTTGAAGGCAACTATGATGAGCAAAGGTGTACCCCCACCACTCCATTGATTTGTATTGGATTGTAATTGAGCTGCAGATAAGCCTTTTGGGATGTGTGCATGAGGTTCATTTTTTGTCATCAGTATTACTTAACTGGATTCATGGTTTCTTATTCCTAGCTAAACCAGCAATTATTGAAAAGTAGAGTTTGGAAAATTTTCAACTTCAGTAAAGAAATGTTCCTATTAATGAACAATAGGAGACTTTTCAGCTTCACTGAACAAAAGTGTACAAATAGATTTAAAAGTGATTGTGAATAATCTCACTGAATTATATATAACCTACTAAGAAATAGTAGGAACATTTTTACCAGCAAGGTTTAGAGACTTACCAGTGCTCTGACCTTATTTTCTACAGGGAGCAGCTGGCATTTTATGCTATGTGGGAGCCTATGTCTTCATCACTTATGATGACTATGACCACTTCTTTGAAGATGTGTACACTCTTAGTCCTGCTGTGGTGATCATAGCCGTAGGAGCCCTACTTTTCATTATTGGGCTAATTGGCTGCTGTGCCACAATCCGGGAAAGCCACTGTGGACTGGCCACGGTAAGTTAGCACTTAATTGACCACGTGCATTGTCATAATATGTGGGAATATTTCGTTTGTGTTACTGGCTTTGAATTGAGCATGAAACTCAGACTCTTTAGCTCTTATAATTGAAACAGAATTAGCACTTATCTTAAACTTCTAGCAATTATCTCAAGATATCTCAAGAGAGTATTTAGCACTATTTTTCATTTGTATTTAATTTTTGACAATGTTTCCTTACAGTTTGTCATCATCCTACTCTTGGTTTTTGTCACAGAAGTTGTTGTAGTGGTTTTGGGATATGTTTACAGAGCAAAGGTATGTTGTCTACTGTATATAATTTGTATGTTTTAAAAGGTGGTTTAAGTGTTTCGAGTGAATAGAACAAATTCATTTTATCAAAGTAAACATTTTCTTTTGCTTTACTTCAGTTTAGCCATGGCTTTAAAAATCTAAAGTTAATTAGAAATTATAAATCAAGACTGCTAGTCTCCTTTTATAAAGCAAATTCTACTACTGTTTTAGTTTGCAGGTATTTAGTATTCTTTAAATTACCTCAGAATGAACTACAGATGGATAATTGATCAGCTAAGAAGTTTGTTCAAATTTCCTGAGCCCATTGATTCCCTATTGAGAGGGGAAATAGAAGTTTTCTGATTTCTGTTTTAGAAGAACTAAATTGAGCATTTCATTTTCCATTGCCTCTTTAAAAAATGCCTTGTCCTGGACATAGAAAAAGACAATTGTGAGTTGTGATCCTTCCTACCTTCTACTTCGTCTTGAGGAATGAGGTGTCCTGCCAGCTCAGACACACGAGGGCAGCTGTTGCCACCACTCCCTTCTTAACCCCTCTTTCCTCTTTCCTGGTTGTTTCCTCTTTTCTTTCCTCTTTCTATTTTGCCTGCTTTTGCTTTCCGCCTAGAGTACCATTTAAGGCTAACTGGTCTGTTTTAGTAACTTTAGAGCTATGATAAAGGCATAATAGAGTCATTCTCACTGTTAGTTATGGTTTTATGTCAAAGGCATGATATGCCAATTTAACATTCAAATCATTGATACATAAGGTACAAGGCAACTATGTAAAAAAAAGCAAAAGAAAAGTTGATTATGCCCCTACCTATGATCTGCTTATCAATTTTATGGTCTCACATTACTGATATAATTACCAAATAAGTCTTATCATCTTAGAATAGTAAGGAGAATTGGGTACAAACACACTTTATAAATGATACTTTCATGCCTTTTAGTAATTAGCAGCAATAAGTTGTAAAGAGTTTATTTCGCATTGAACTGCAGCTTTTTTGTAAAGTATTACTGCTAAGGACTGATTTTTTTTTTAACTGCTGATTACTTTTGCATTTTTAGCCAAGTCTAATAATTTGTTCCAAAAATATCTTGTGGGGTTTTTTTTAGTCATTTTATTTTTACCTCCTTTAGGAAAGGAAAGTTAGTAGGTCTTCTGAGAATATACTGAAAACTTATTTAAAAAAGAAGGCAGTACATTTATAATTTGGGACATCTATCTCAAGGCTCAACTGCTTTATCCCTTTTGAGTGGATTGTTAGCTTGCTATCTTGTACACAGTTTTTTCTTTGAATGCTTTTAATCTATGTGATAAAAAATGTCTTAACTTTTACCTGAATCTATAGAGGGAGAAACAAGAGAAAACTTTTTTTTCTTATAACAGAGATATCTGGCAACTTTGCAAAGCATGCCATTTAGGTATTTTAGCTAGAGCCTTGACTAATACTATTTTTACCAGTATTTTAGAGTGACTGATTTTTTTGTTTTGATTCAGGTGGAAAATGAAGTTGACCGCAGCATTCAGAAAGTATATAAGACCTACAATGGAACCAACCCTGATGCTGCTAGCCGAGCTATTGACTATGTACAGAGACAGGTGAGCTCTCTTGAGGTGAATTTGTTTTTGAGTAAGTCAACGTGAAACTTACTCTGCTATTACTATGTAAATTAGCCATGTATCTTCACAACCATGGTTAACTTCAAGATATGTTCAGTATCTTAATCTTCACCCTTGAAAAGTTTTTTCTACCATCACCTAGTCAAAGTCAGATAAGAAGCATCGGATTTTTTTCCCCCAAAATTAGTTAGCCAGAGAGGTAATCATGGAAGAGAGGCATGTGTTACAGGGAAGGTGGAAGTCCAAATGGACTTAAGAGGAGGTAGGAAGTCTTCATATATCTTTAGAAAATAAGACCAGAAAAGGCAACGGACAAAACCAAAAAAAAAAAACACACAAAAAAACCAACAAAAAAAAGACAATTTGAAACATACATGGAGATTGAATCGTATAATAGATCTTTATGCCCATAAGTCCACCTCAAAAATAGTTAGCTTTTACCAATCTCGTTTCATTTATTGCCTCCACATATCTTTTGCTAGATTATCCTAAAGCAAATCCCAGACATTTTAGACAAAATATTTTAAACACTCTGTCATTGGATGTAATATTTAACTCAGACTAGATATTTCACATGTTAAGATAGGAAAATTTTTCTTAGCTATACACTACCTCATATGGGTAGTGTGCTTTTCATATGGAGATTCTAGAGCCACTAGCCATGTGTGGCTCTTTAAATTAAAATTAAAAATTCAGTTCCGTACTCACAGCCACATTTTAAGGGCTCAATAGCCTTATGTGGCTAGTGGCTACCATGGTGGACATGTAGATATAGAACATTTCTATTCCAGAAAATTCTGTTGGACATCACTGTTCTAGAGTAGCTTAAAGCTTTGTAGCATATAGAACTCTGTAAAGTTCAACACAGTATAAGTGTTTTGTCAGAAGTACTATATTTCTGTTCTGTTCTCCACTAGCTGCACTGTTGTGGAATTCACAACTACTCAGATTGGGAAAATACAGATTGGTTCAAAGAAACCAAAAACCAAAGTGTGCCTCTTAGCTGTTGCAGAGAGACCACCAGCAGCTGTAATGGCAGTCTGGCCTACCCCTCCAACCTCTATGCTGAGGTGAGTTCAATTTCTTGGCAAAACTTGAATCTTATATGGTAACCTGTTTTACTCTGTGACTCATCTTTACCTGGAACTTCTTTTCTACACTCTTTTGCTTGTTTTTTTTTTTTTTTTTTAAACGATCTTAATCATTTCTAAGCGTACAGCTCAGTAGCATTGAATATATTCGCATCATTGTGCAACCATCACCTTCATCTATCTCCAGAACTCAGTCTCTCTTGCATATTGAAACTTTGTACCCATTAAGTAACAAGTCCCCATTCCCCCTCACTCAGCCCCTGGCAACCACCATTCTACTTTCTGTCTCTATGAATTTGACAGTTTTAGGTACCTCATGTAAGTGGAATTATACAATACTTGTCCTTTTGTGTCTGGCTTTATTTACTCAGCATAATGTCTTCAAAGTTCATTCATATTGTAGCATGAATCAGATTTTTTCTTTTTTAAGGCTGAATAATGTTCTATTGTATGTACACTCTACATTTTGCTTATTCATCTGAGGATGGACACTTGTGATGCTTTGCCCTTTGGCTATTGTGAATAATACTGCTATAAACATGAGTGTGCATATATCCCTTTGAGTCCTCACTTTCAATTTTTTTTTTTAAGGATTTAAATTTTATTATGTATAGATTGTAGTTGTGTCTTTTAATTAAAAATAATTTTTTTTTTCAATTACAATTGACATTCAGTATTAGTTTAAAGCGTTACAGCATAGTGGTTAGATATTAGGTAACTTACAAAGTGATCTCCACCAGTGTCTAGTACCCACTTAACACCATACATAGTTAAGACTATATTCCCTATGTTGTACTTTATATCCGTCTTTCGTTTGTCTTTAATGCTATTTTATTTTACTGTAAATTATTTTTAAATGTATTGCCTTTTTCCCTCTTAGTTTCTGCCATTTCCATTTCTGTAGCTTTCACTTTTAATGAGACATTTAATGAAGATGACTTTGCGTGTTTCAGGGGTGTGAGGCTCTAGTTGTGAAGAAGCTACAAGAAATCATGATGCATATTATCTGGGCAGCACTGGCATTTGCGGCTATTCAAGTAAGCACAGCTAGCCAAACAGTTGTTAAAAAGTGTACTGATTCTCTAATGTCAACCCTGAATGGTTATAATCACTAAGTGCAGTTAATCTCTGTGTATATAAATTACTTGGAAACAATTGAGGTACCAGGCACTGGTTTCTAACATCTTCCATTTCCTGTCTAGACCCAGAATGGTTTCAAAAAACCAGCTGTCTAGATGAGGGTACCATGTGTGAGGGGACTTTGCCTTCTTTTCTTAACTCAGTTCGTGAGTGACCTCAAAATTCGAACTGGTGTCATGGTATATTCTTGGAAGATATTTTAATAGAACTTTACAGAATTTTAAAAAATAGTATTGCTTTATTTCAGTTTGGAAATAGAAAGCTTTACTTATGTCTTTTTAAATATTTCTTTATAGCTGAAACATTGGATTTCGTTAACCAGTGGCACCATAAAAAATAAATTAATTAAAAAAAATAAAACAACAGCATTTTCCCAGGAAAAATAAGTAAATAGATAAATATTATTTCTTTCAGTTCTTGCTTTTTTGTCCTCGGGGGGGTTTATATGTTTAGATACATAAATCAAGAATTGGTACTGCAACACTGGCTTCTTATAGGAGCATTTTTATTGCTTTACAGGAAGGACCTCTAAATAAAAACTGAGGTTCTAGCCTCTTCTGTATTTGAGGACTCAGTTTTTTTAGACTGCTAGCCATCAAGGAGTCTGTGACATCACTTGACACATCTGGAAAGTGTACTATGCCATTGTTGGTGGCTGAGGGGACTTGTTTTCCCTTCTCTTGCCAATGAAAACTTAATTTCTCCCTAATTTTATCTACTCCCAGCCCTCCCTTCCACCAAGAACAAAACAACACACACACACATATCCTATCCCTCACCTCCACCTGAAAACAAAAAAGAGAGACAGCTATTTTTCTGCCCAGTATAACTAATATTCCTAGTTTCTCAGGTATATTGCTTCTCTCTGTATATTGAACAGAAGCTAGTATATTTAATGGGTAATGCCTTTTAAAATGGCAAAAGAGTGACTGTTTACTTTGCTGGTATTCAAACAGCCCTGAAACAATTCATTAAAAATCCTAGCTCTTTATTTGCTATGGTCTTTGCCC